CCGACCAACAACAACACTTACTGGACCAACAACAACACTTACTGGACCAACAACAACACTTACTGGACGTCCGGCGCGGAGAACAATTAACGAGATAATGAGAAACTGACGAAACGAGTTGCTTACTTTTAACAGCTTTTTCACAGAAAACTAGTTTTCGCACGTAAGCTCCCTTTTCGTAGACCAGGACACATATATAGCCCACTCAATTTCAGCGTAATAATGTGCAAGTTTCAAGCGCCTAAAAATTATCGTTGATTTTTTAAAATTTTTTTTTGTTGCATTTGCTTTCATATAACGAATAAACCCAATTTTTTTTATATGGAAGAAAGCTGCAACACCTTCGGCAAAAAAAATAAACATAAGTGGCAAACAATATCACTTTGAAGTGGGGGTGCTATTGATATGACCAATACTGTATTTACATTAGCACTTCTATTACAAGCACACATACATACGCTCGCGTGTGCTTAAATCTTGTACAAGTATGCGTTTATAAATAAATCAGCAAATGCACATACACAAATTCATACATACATATATGCATTTGATGTATGTGTATATGTACAAATGTAAATAACTTGCGACACTGACACATGAAAAGTAAATTTTCTTTTTGCTTTTCTCTTTTTCTTCTTCCCCGTACACTTCTTCTGTACATCCCTTTTATCGAATATATGTATGTATTTATACACGTCCTTCACACGCCTTGTTTTATGCGCAAATTGGTTCATGGCATTTTTTTTCCGTCCCCCCTCCTCCCCCTCTAACCACTCCACCACTACACGCTCCTTTTTCGTTGCATACTTTTTTGTTGGCTCCGCTATGTGAATAACGCCATCAAATTTCACGGCATCCTGGGTTATAAACTACACGCGCTTTTGTTTCGGTTTCGTCAAAATTGATGTTTTTGTTTTGTTGGAAAATTTTTGAAATGAAAATGATAATCAAATGAAGGTTGGCACTGGCACCCTACAGGAAACGATCGGTGTGGGCTTTCGCGAAGAGGGCGCCCTGGAGTTGCGCAGCTCAACGGAGGAATTGTACTTTATGGACCCCGAACAGAAGAAGGAGGAGCAAGAGAAACTGCAACAACAGGTAAGTAAAAACGAACTAATGAACGAATTGTCGTTGTAAAGAGTTGATAAAAAAATGTAGTGATATTTTGGTGAACCATTGCGATTTTTAAAGACTGAGTTGTTAATAATTTTGAGGTTAGAATGAGCCCCACGGAAGTTCACTGGTCTGAAAATCAACTGGCAATTATTACTTTATGGTCACAGGCACTACAAAACTTTGACAGCTGTCAGTTTACAGTGTTGATAAAGTTAAAGCCACAAAGATCTCTGAACTAGAACAATGTTGAATTGTAAGCGAACTGTTTGAAAAAGAATGCGATCAAAAATATGCATAAAAACGATATCGAATTTTATCGACAATATGTACGTCACTAATAAATTATGACAGCCGACTCTGATAACGATCCGCGATTTCACTGTAGGGACGCTAAAATGACACAAATAAACACCGAAGCACGTTAAATTAATTTTAGGTCGTATATTACGGATCTGTATATCGTTTTTCTAGATCAGGCAATTTTCTCAAGATATTTTAATTTAGAGTTTGCATTGCGAGTGAAAAAAATTCAAACTTTAACATGGAAAATGTCACTCATACGCCATGTACGGGTACCCACCCACTCGTCTGAATGAGTCGTTTTCTTATCGCTTCAAGCGATATTTGGAATCATTTTATTCTTTTTAATAATTCATTTATTTTTTGTATACAAAATTGGAACTTAGAAATGGAATTAATTCTTTCTTTCGCTATGGAGCTTCCTATTTTTTCTATGCTGCCTTTGGTATATATTAGACGCTTTTGAATAATACTGTTGAAGCGAAATGTTGCCGATTTGTCACTACGGCAATAAATCGGTGAGTCGCCATTTTGTTGCCATTGACGATTTTTGCCATTTCCTCATGTTCTGCATGGTGGGTAGGGCCATGAACGATATGGCGTATGAGTAACATTATTTTGTGCTTTTGTTTCATACAACAATTACGCGGATGCACAAAAATTATCTTAATAAAAGTTAAATGAAATTGAAAGGGTTATTTTGTATCTACAACTAACCTGTAACTAATCAACATTATTAAAATAATTCAGCCACCCTCATTTTTTGCAACAGCATTTAAATAAAATTTAATTAAATACTCTTGAAAACTGTATTAAATTATAAAAAAATAATAGTAATTATTGGCCTAAATATCCTTCTCAACCGTGATTTTCGTCTTGAATTTGTCAAATAAATGGAGGAAAATACGAGGAACTATTTCATGGCTGAAGTACACTCGGAGGTTTACCATTGCCGGCCGTAGGTTGAACGCTTTAGAAAAAAAAACTCATTTGGAAGTTGCTCGAATCAGGGGCATCGAAACTGGGACTAACCGAGTGGTGGTAGTACGCACGTTTAAAATCGATTTGAGTTCATTTAAGTGTGGCAGCAACTTTGGCAACAAAATTTATAATAAAAGCAATAACCAGCAGCAAGAATGCAATCGTCTTTCAGATCATTCTCTGGCATGGGATGGCGCAAAATACATACAATACATATATGTACTCGTACACTGTAGCCAAATTGTACTTATACCCAACACATAATGAATATAACCGCAATATTCTACCAGCCACAACTGGGACACGGCATACATTCGAGTATTACGGCATCAATTGAAGGACCGAAAGTGTTGCAGCAAGTGAAACTGAGCAGCAGCAATGTCCGTATCGAAATTGGTGCCGTGCATGTCCTGGAAACAGTTGGTCCACTTTTTGCTCTGCACTACCAGGCGTTTTGAGTTTGGCAAGCGATACAATTGAAAAATCAAACCGCTTCGAAGCTTTCATGCATTCGCTTTGCAATATTTGCTTTGCTTAACAAAACATTGCGGATATTGCAGGCAAACGCTCGCACATCGGTGTGTACCATTGTTCTCTTTCCTTGCCTTTACACCTCCGACGCCGAAGTGTAGGTGGTGGCGAAATGTATTTAGGTTAGCCTTTTTGTAAATGCCATGGATTGGTACGCCTTCGAACATGAAGTCATTAATTTTGTGAGTTTTTATTGTACGGCTACACTGCTGCTCTGCATATGTAGTTGTTGTTGTTGTTGCCACCACATTTGCTTGGGTCACATTGGACAACTCTAATATGTATGTACTCGTACAAATGATTTACCCATTTCATGTGACCACAAAAACAGCAAATTTGTTGCTAAAACGTTCACACATATGTACTTACAAAGTATGTGCATTAGGATGGTCCAAAAATGCATGTAAAAAAAGTAAAGTCGGAATTTTTATGCTCTCACCACCTAGGATTGTTCTATATCGAAAAAACTATACCCCAATTTTTTTATTTTGAAATCAAAAAATATTTAGAGGTCGCTCCAAGTTTCCCATACAAAATACATGGAAAAGTTGGAGCGCTTAGAGCGACCTCTAAATATTTTTTGATTTCAAAATAAAAATATGCGGGTATACTCTTTTCGATATAGAAGAATCCTAGGGGGTGAGAGCATTAAAATTCCGACATTACTTATTTTGGACCACCCTAATGTACATACGTATGCATGTATGTAAGTATATGTGTCCTTTATATGTAGAAATGTAAAAAATGGGCGCTGAAAGTTGGATCACTGACGCTGCAAAATTTAAGGCAACAATTGCGGGTCAAATGAATTGAGCAACTGTTGAAGAGGAAAAAGGGAACTTACTGGCAACTTAAAGTTGCACGAAAATACACTGCTTTAAAAGAGGCAGGGGTTTTTATACAAAGATATGTAAATGTTTACACCCAGCTAGTTCTAAAAAAGTTAGCGAAATTTTTTGCCATTAAATACAGGTTATGTGCTGGAAGAGGTTAAATCAGAAGTTTTGAAACGATAAGTCCTTATCACGTCGTAATTTATGATTTTGTCGCTGTAGAAACCTTGCCGGTGCAGCTTAATCCGTTCGGCGATTTCACCAAAGCTTGCGAAATAAGAGCATTAAAATCAACGTACTACTGCTCCAGCCGAAGCAAATACAATACAGATTTCCATAAATAAATCTTTCCTCGCTGATTCTGTTCGGCGTCAGTCCTGCCATGGCATATTGTTTGCAATGTAATTGAATAAGCCAACAATCCTTTTCTCCGTTTTTCATCCACTTATCACAGCGCAGTCATTGCGCCTCCTCCCATCCACAATAGCTGTCGGCATGTACATACACACATACATACTTATGTACATATCATTCCTTTATAACGCGCATCCGACCTTGCCCATCATTCATTGGCTGGTATGCGCGGCAATCTACCTACGCTCATCGAGAATCAGTTATGGCGCATATCGGCAGTCTGTTATTTAGCCCGTTCGTCACTGTTGCCTTTGACGTTGTCGTCTGTGACAATTGAAATTCAATTATGAGCGCTCATCGCCTCAGTTCGCAGGCTTCGACGAATGCAGCCTCATAGTTTGAATGTATTTTATAATTTTCAACGAATCTTCGAAGGATTCTGCGAGGCAGGAGTTGCACATACATATGCACATAGCTGTATTATGATTGATAGCAGCTCTTCCATTTAATTACGTTATAAATTTCAGTTTCTTTGGTTTTTTCGCAAAGTTGCCGGCTTTCAATTTATTTCCCTTGTAATCTGCGTTTCATTTACTGATTACTGTACACATCTTTCATTTCATATATTTCAGCAGGCGAAGCGCTCCTCGCCACACATATTTAAATTTGACGATCATCAGAGCTACTTGCAGCAGCATCAGCGCAAGGATTCCGCAAGCTCCGAGGTCGCTGCATTGCTTTGCATTTCCGGACGCACAAGTCGCATTTCAAGCGTCGGCAGTCAGGGTTCGGCCGTGAGTCGCCTGTCGGCCGTATCTGGCGTTTCGCGTTCACCCTCTCCACATCGAATGCTTTTGGAGACATCATTTTGTGGTCCCAAGCCACTGGAAAATGTAGTGGACGGTCGCGTTTCAACTACTATTGAGCCAGCAACGGCTGAATTACTCGAACAGGTGTTATTGGCGCGTAAGCACGACCCCACTCAGGCAGTGTTGGCAGAAGGCATCACCGTGGAGAGTTCACCAAAGAAGAAGCCCACAACGCTGTCAAACGGTGAGGCCAAGCCCCCATTGAAAAGTACTAAGAGGTCTGAGCGACCCAGCGCTGTTGGTATTGTTGGCGCTGGTGCTGGTGGTGTTGGGAAGCCAACTATGGGTGCTCAACGTCGAAGCACCAAAAGTCCTGGGCAGATGGTAATCGGAAAGACGCCCGGTGGCACAGAGTATATACGCATAAACCTGAAACCCGACCACATGTACGACGACAGGGGTATTGCACCGCATGAGAAAGTTGTCGAGGCGCCAAACAGTATCGCTCCGCTTTACTCACGCAGCCAGAAGAAACCAGCTTCGCTCAGCTTAGGCCGCACTGCCGTGGATGAGAACCGTCTGACACCTACAGCTAGCCCCAAGCCCACGCGTCATGGCATTCTGGCGAAGGACACGCACGGTAGCCGCTCTCCTTCTCCTGCCAATGTGCCCGTTTCACGAAAAAGTTCATTTAGTTCAATATTTCGCCTTGGCGGCAAGGATTCGCCTGACTCGCCCCGCGAACGTTCACGTTCACGTAGCAAAAGTAAAGAACGCCAAACTCCGCAGTCACAAAATGTTACGCCAAGCAAACAGAAATCCGTTTTAGCGATTTTTAAGCCCGGCAAACGTGGTAGCAACGCAGGCGCTGATGCAAAATCTTCGAAGAGTTCCTCGCCCATTGATGGACATGAGCTACAGCAACAGGCGCAGCAAACACGCAGCAAGTCGCATACGCCATCATCAACGAGTGGTGGTTCTCGACCCGCTAGTAGGCTCCGTTACTACGATGAGCCCGTAGAAGGCGTAATACACATACCGCTTCATACTCCGCCTGAGGAAAAAGAGGCGCGGAAATTATTGCACGGCATACAACAATTAAATGCGGAGCCGACGCGCCCAGTTCCAACAGCTATAACGGCTAGCCAGCTGGCCGCGGCCGCTGCAGCTTTGAAGCCTGTGGGGGCCCGGAAGAGTTCGGGAAGTGGATCATCGGGCAGTGGTCAATCGCAGCCGAGGTCTCAGCAAGTGGATAAGTTGCAGCGCATCGAGAATCTCGACGCCATACATACGCTGTCGCAAGATGATGACAATAAAGAGCGCACATGGAGTCTGGAGGTGAACAAACATAGTTCCCAGGATTCGCAAGAAACTGCCGGTTCAGAGATAAGCTATGCTAGCGCTATCAAGGTCAATCTTCGTTCGAATCTGGCAAATGTTAAGGAAAATGTGGTGCAGGAAAATGGTGTGGCAGCGGAGGCGGAAATTCATCGATTGCCTTCAGTGGATAGCGGTGGGGAGGTGAAGGTCGTTGAGACGGTGGCGATGGTCAACGTGAATATCACACAAATTCAGCCCGAAACTGAACATACAAAAGAAAAACGTCGATTGCTCTTTACGACACGCCTCGGCTCTGGCAGTCAGGACCCAATTTTTTCCACACAATTTAGTATTTCAAAGACTGAAAGTCAGTCGAGCCAGTTGTCTGAGCAAATACAGGAAACAATAGCCGAGAGTCCTGTGTCGGAGACCCTGCGCAGACAGGGCACTGTAATACGCCGTTCAGAAGAGGAAGTGGAAGCCAGTGCTCCTGCACAAGTAGCAGAACCCAAAGAGCCAATGAAAATGCCACCGAAACGGCGAAGCTCTACCGAAACCTCAACTCGTCGCCAGAAATCGATTTCTACTTCTGAGGACGAGAAACACATTGTACAAACAACAGTTACTGCAGTTGTTATGCGACGCAAGGAATCACATGAGGAGCCGAGGCGAAAATCGCGCTCCACGTCAGAAGACGACGCGGATGCTGGTGGCGGTGTTTTGAATCAACGCCATTCCCGGTATCTGGAAAATTTTGATGTGCGGAAAAAATACCACGAAAATGTACCCCGTAAGCCAAAACGGCAAAGCTTTTCCGAAAGCAAACGTGCTGAGGGCGTAGAAGAACCGATTTTAATTGCTGCAGAGCAACATGAAGATCAAAAACCACCAAAACAGCAACAACGTAAGCCAACACTGCCTCAGCCGCCACCTCCATCTACAGCGCCCTCACCTTCGCCACCTCCAATTGCTGCTTCCGCTTCTGGGAGCCGTTCGCCAACGCCAACGACACATCCACCACGCTCGCAATCCCAATCACCTGTAGATCGTTCCGGAAAACACACACCCGTCAAACCTCCACGAACCTCAACACCCCCTCGTCGTTCACATACCGCAACCGAAAGACAATCAATGCCCTCGACCGACGAACCAATTGAGTCATCCGAAAGTGAAAGAGACTCAGACTTAGCAGGCGGCAGCTCTGCGTTAGCCGACCCCAAGCGGCGGCACTTGCCGCGTCATGTCGGCGCTATCGAAGATCACGAGAGTACAGGACTCGTTTCGCAAGAGTCCTTCGACGAGCTTCCCTATGTGCCCACTACACTACCCGAGGAGCGAGCGCAAGGCGTCCCACTCATTCCTATGAAAGATCGGGCCAACATGGAATTGAAAACATGCCCTGTGGAGCGTCCACGCTCAACTACGCCACTAAATCCTTCCCACTTAGAGGAATATTGCGGCATAGTTACACCTCAGGAGCCAGCTTATGAGCTTAGTGGCTCTGTGCCAGTACGCGGCGAGAAATTGCGCATCAGTTTGCCACGTAAAGACTCAACTAAGGAGCGGGTCCAGAGCGCAAAGTCCCCACGACGAGCATCCAACACTAGCGGCAAGTCTTGGTTTGAGTTTGCCGAGGAGGGTCTGCGCGCCAATGCAGCCAACTTGGAACGCAAAGATTCTAACAAACAATTGATACAGCAGAAAAAACCGGAAAAGGAAACCAAAACAAAGTCACCTGCCGGCACAGCGACCACAACCACCGTGCAGACCACGCAAACGCAAATTACACCAACCTCCGGCACCACAACGACGCAACGAAAGCTCTCTGGACATTGGATAGATTTCGAAAATATACCGGAAAAACGCAAGCCACCAAAGCGAATTACGGCTTTGCCCAAAGACGGCGTCATTTCCACGACTACTAGCAGCAGCCGAACTCACGCCGCCCAAACGAGTGGGCAACATGCGGTGCACACCCACGCACACGGACAAGGGCCCGGGCATGGACACCAGCCACCACAGCCAGATGTGACTATGGACGGCAAAATCCACTACAACTATGTAAAGCCGGAAGACTGTCAGTGCGAGTGTCATGAGGCAAAGAGGGAAGGAGCCGTGGGCGCTGGCGCTGATGAGACGGAGGAAGCAGGCACGGTCGGTGCAGACGATGAGGCTGACGGCGTAGCAAGCAGCAAATCCATAACCAGCGTGGATCTTCTACAGCAAGGTGAGGATATGTTGCCATTGCTGGACCCTGACACACAAGATGGAATTGAGCCAAGGTTAGTTCAGTTTACAGCGCTTAAAGAAGCGGTCTTTTCAAGCAAATATTGTTTACTATTTTCAGTGACTCGTCGCGTGAGTACAGCTGCTACACGGACGATGAGATGGATGTGCCGATGCGGCAGACAAGCTCCAGTCGCTCGAAAAGCAGTTCCTCAAAGGTTGGTGGGCAAAATTGTAGTCTCGGTTAATATAAGGGTTAGTAATGATAATGCTTGATTTCAGCTGGACGAGTTTCCGCGTCGTGATGTATCGCACAGTCCACGAAATCGGAAGTTTCCGGACAATCGCAAGTGAGGCCGTTGGCAGTTCGATAATAAGTTTATGGATTTGCCTTCAAATACGTTGCTGAAATTTTCGTTTTAAAATTTGTAAGCTAACTGGGAGCGCTGCGCCAAAATGCAATGGCAACACGTAAATGGCTTTTGGTTTCGTTAAAGCGTAATATTGACTTCTAGTTATGCCTTAAAGCTGCCTTTACATGAGGCGATTTTTT